CATTATTGAGGAACTCAAAGATTGTGGCCGAAGGCGCTTCAGTGAATCGCTTCGTTAATTAGACGCCTTCGCCGATGAAATCACAAACGGTGCTCCCTCTGATTCTCCTACCCAGTCGTCGCCCTACCCCACAGAGGCGGATAGAGACGAAGAGGTCACCGGCGAAGGTTTGGTAATAACGCGCTGTTTTATGAGGCGGGAACGCAATATATTGCGTGCATGCGTTAGAGCGGGACACGAACAGCTCACTTTGGTGCTATACAACGACAGGTTGCTCCCCAACTGTCATATCCGGTGATCGACCTCGTGCCAGGCCACCGACAATAACGTCATTCACAATCAGGAATCGTTCATATAACCAGGCTAGTGGGTCGACTCCTGGTACACATGTAGTCCCAAGTATTAATAAGTGGTGGATGTCCGACAGTTCACCTGATCAAGATAACTGTCCGTAGTCAGTCAGTTGCCCGAAATAATTGCTGTGATAGTAGGCAGTGCGATTGCGAGGCCGAAATGCCGCAGTATGACTGTGGCAAATAGATAAAGACCTCCGGTGTTATATTCTTTGCTTGCCATGCGCAATTCCTTGTTAGCATGGCCCTGATTTTCAACGTTGAAATGCGCGACACAGCACTGCAATACCCCGCGGCATCTGAGCAAACGTTCATTTGAATAAACGGTGACATAGTAATTGGTAAGGAGTGTCAATTAAAGTTGAATGCGTTCCTCATAGACACGGCCTTCAAGGAACAGCCGGCAAAACTGTGACGCGGACATCGTAAAAATGGCAGCACTGAACGCAATTTCTGCACAAATACTATATTTCCGATGGGCGATTTATAAAAACGTTTGTTTATTTATTGGAGATAACCAAATTCGTCTTCATAGGTCGAAAAGGAATGCGAAAATACAACAATCGACAAAGTACAACGGAATCAGTCGAAATAATATCTCCGATGCGAAAAAAACATAAACAGAAGTAAAGATAAATACACATATACAAGGCTGCCTTACGGTGAAAGGGCGAAGCAAACCGGAAAATGGGAATTGACACAAGAAAAAACCGCCGTTTAAGCACAAGGTCTATTTCAAAGAATGGAAAGAGAAAATGGACAGGTACATGCATTTTACGTTTATAAATAATGATCAAATGCATATTTAGATTGTCGTAATGACGTGCCTAGCGGTGCGAGATATCTCCCCTCCGAACTAAAACCATGCACTCGACCAAAATCCATTATAGACCGTGGGAGCATTCAACGAACCAGACATAAAAGGCAATGCCCGACCTCGTGCCAGCGTCTTGCTCAACACCACAAACATGATATAAACATAACTCCTGCAAACACCTCAGGCCCCACACACCACACCACACATTGCGCCTGCCTCTATTCCAATTCAATAATCATCATTCACCACTTCATTGATATTTTGGCAGATTCACCACTTCATCCCTCTCACACCAATCCAATCCTCATCCTCACTCACCTCCCCTTCTCCATCTTCTTTCACATCCTCACCACCTCCAGCATGTCTCCTTGTAACACTCCCCAATGCCCCTCATCTTCTACTTACTTCACTTCAGTAGCGTCCATCTACAGCCCTTCATTTCATCCGGGTAATGCCGGCCACAACCTCTTCACCAATCATCCTGGTGAACCACTGTCTGTACTGAGTACGGAAGCTGCTGTCTCATTCAGAGGGATGCATTTGGAGACAACTGCATCATGGCGCCAGCTACTAGCATGCCATGCCTCTCAGTTGCATATATTGCAGTCCTCAGATATTGCGAGGTTCAGGGAAGAGGAATATGCTCGCCATGGCTAATGAGACATGCGTCCTGTATTAAGCCACTCAAACATAATACCTACTATTACAAATGCTAAAACCATTCTCACTACTACAACTACTCCTACTACTACTACTACTACTACTACTACTATTATTACTACTACTACCACCACCACTACTACCACCACTTCTACCACTACCATTACAAATTAATCAAACTAATCAATTCCACTACTACTAAGCCAATTCAACATCTAATATATCAATCTAAACTAGAAAATATACCAGTAACATTAATGATATTACTACTATTACTACAACTATATCTACTACAACTACTAATACTACCACTATTACTGCAGGTGTTACCGCTGCCACTACTAATACAACTACTAGAAAAGTATTATTCCAGTTGGCTTCTTCTATGCCAGGCATTCCTCTGGAGTGTGCATTACTAATAACTCTTATCTTGTTCTCATATTGCCTCAGTGCTAATCCAGCGCATGCACCGCCTGCTTCATTCTAGCTGCAAACACACACAACCCACCCAGCCACTTTTACACGCATTGGCATTTATCCCGACAGCAATTCGTGAAGTCCACACTAGCCTCCGTGAAATATGACTGACTGCTTTTGGCCGCCATAGTAGCACTGGTAGCACGTTAGACTCCATTGACTTGGCATGCATACTCTCCACATGCCCATATGCCTGACACCATGGCCAACCATGTGAAGAAGCAAGCAAGGCATCTCACGACAAGTAAGGAGTGACTTACATGAAACCGCCCTGTAGCGCCTCGTTGGGCGACATGGTGTAATTGTTGCTCTCGGCGAATTAGGAGATTCAGGGGTGAAGAAGAAGAGACATGAACTGGTGGATGAGTTATAGTAGCAATAGTTGTATTTGGAGTAGTAGAAGTTGCAGTAGTAGTAGAAGTAGTCGTCGTAGTAGTAGTAGTAGTTGTAGCAGTAGTAGTAGTATTAGAGATAATATTAGTAGTATTATTAATGGCAGTATTAGTAGTAGTAGTTATAGTAAAAATTTGAGGGATGAGATGTACATTGTTTGGTATGGAGCAGTTCTTGGGATGTGTAGGTATTTGAGATGAAGTTACAGGTATCTACTAAAACTACGAGTTCTACCACTATTACTGCAAGCATAACCGCTGCCACTACTCATACAACTTCCAGAAAAGGATTATACCAATTTGCTTCTTCTATGCCAGGCATTCCTCTGGAGTATGGTTTACTATTAACTCTTGTCGTGTCCTCATTTTGCCTCTGTGTTAATCCAGCGCATTTACCGCCTGCTTCATTCTAGGTGCAAGCACACTCAACCCGCACAGCCACTTTTACAGCCACTGTCATTTAGTTCAGTACATTTTACGGATCATAGTCAATGCCTTTGGAAACACTATTTTAAACGGTACATACAATATGTTACTTTAAATAAAATAGTACTAATTTTTTCAGTAATAAATACACATAGCAGAATATTTTAATTGAAAATGCAGAACCGAAACTCAGACACATTCAGTTGTAGATGATATCGGTAAAACGCAATTGCAGTCATATTTATTAGCGGTATGTGTATTGAAGTCGTTCTTTTTTTCACCACAGAGCTGTTTTGTCTAGACAAGCGGTATTGTCCAAGCAAATATGCATCGAGTCTTTGTTTGAACGTCTCCGTGGTATCCGCCATTATTACGTCCTCGGGAAGCCCATTCCAGGCTCCGACGACTCGCTGTGAAAAACAGTATTTGCGAACGTCCAGGCGGCATCGGGATCCTCTAATTTTTAGAGATTTCCCACGCAGGTTTGTTGTTGTGGCCAGGGTGAAGAATTCGTCGGGGTTTAGGGCACATCCCCGGTTCCTCAATATCCGATAGGCCTGTATGAGATCTCCTCGAACCTGCCTGTACTCAAGAGGAAAATGTTTAAGTTCCCTAAGTCGGCAGTTGTAAGGTTAAGTCCTGAGGCCTTTTACAATTTTTGTTGTTCTCCTCTGAACTCTTTCTAGCAACTTATAGTCTTTTTTAGCCACGGGCGCACCGCTTGGATTCCATATTCCAGGTTCGAGCGAATGAACGCTCCGTATACTTTTCCAAATAACTCTTTGTCTATGTCCAAGAAAGATCGTTTAATGGCAAAGAGAACACTAGTTGCTCTTTCGGACGCCCTAATACACTGAGATGAAGGCTTAAGGGTCGACAGAATGTTAATCCCAAGATCTTTTTGTTCGGTTACATTTGAAAGGCACT